CGAGCTCTCGCGCCGGCACGGGGGAGGGGTGGGCTCCACGAGCCGTGCCGTAGGGGTCAGGTCTTGCGCGGGCTCAAAAGGCATCAGGTCTTGGACGAATTCGAGAACCAATCGTACGTGTGCCGATGCCGATGTCAACATGTACTCCAAGCAACTGGGTCACACCGATATCTACGCACGCAGGACGAAGGATGTTCCTCTTGAGGTGCAAGTGGCGATGATGAGGTTGAAAATAATGACCGAACCTCCATCCCTTTATAACGAGGTAAAATTCGGATCCGCCGTGAAAAAAACGAAGACGGATCCAGCAAATCCGAAATCGGATCCGCGCGGACGGAAATCGGATCCACCGAAGCAAACGCCAAAGCCACAATTGGACCAGCGCGAACTTCACGGGACCCGATGGCGGTTATCTCAAGCCGTCGTTCCGGGCCCAAGAGGGAAAAATTTCGTCCTGGGGATGAATGTGTATATATATATATATATACACACACATGTGTATGTACGCTCGTGGCTCAGTTGAACGAAGTCCGATGTTCAGACTCAATTCTGCACACGGGCTGCGGGAAACGATGCCTCTTGTGGCCGACCGCCCCCCCCTTCTGTGATGAAAGGTGTGTGTTCGAGATCGTGCATGCATCGCGCGGCCGGGGCCTCCTGGCCAGAATCACACACCGACCACCTGTGAAACATCCGCTCTCCCCTGGGGGGGGGCTTCTTGGAGGCAGTTTTGATGCCTCTGAGGGGCCGTCGGGGGGCCTCTTGGGGTCTGTTTGTTGGCCTCGTAGGGGCCTCCAGGGGGCCCCTTAGGCTCTCTTCCGGGTCTCCCGGGGGCCTCTTGGAGCCTTTGCGTTGAGCCTCTTAGGGGGCCACGTGGGGCCTCTCAGGCCCTCTTGGGTGCCTCTTGGGTGCCTCTTGGGTGCCTCTGGGTGCCTCCTAGGGGGCCTCCTGGGGCGGCCTTTTGGGGCGGAAGGCTCGCATTGTCGGTTCTTGTTCCCCCTCTCGGGGCCCGTTTTTGGGGCCTTCTTGGGCGATCTTGGGCGCCTCTTGTGCCGTTTTGGAAACCTCTTGGACCATCTTAGGGACCTCTTGGGGGCCTCTTGGGCCGTCTGGGGGCCTCTGGGGCCATCTTGGAGCGTCGGAAGCCCGAAAACGCGAGAACGCGAGACACACGGAGAACACATTAGAAACCTCACGGAGGGTTGCCTCTTTGGGCCCTCTTGGGGCTCCTCTTGGAGCGATCTTGAGGCTTCTTTGGGGCATCTCGTGCCGATTTGTGGGCACCTTGGGCGTCTTGGAGCGCTCTTGGGCTGTCTTGGAGGCCTCTTGGACTCCCTTGGGTGCTTTCTGGTGCCCTCCTGGCCCGTCTTGGGGCCCTCTGGCTTCTGGAGAAGTCACGCCGGCCGGCCCAGGAGCGCGCGGGAGCGCTCAGGAAATTTGAGATGGCTGGGGTCCCAGCCCGTAGAATATTACTATCCCAGGGTCCTGAGTACAGGGGCCACAAGACACAGGAGGACCCGAGGGCACTCCACTTCGTGCCTCGAGGTGCGGTGGCGGACTCCCAGCAGGGATCGAGATGAGTCTTCGGTTGTTCGCAGTCGCTCGCAAAGGTGCTGGAAGGCCACTGAGCTATGTGACAGTATGCGGGACTATGTCCGTCTGAACGGTTTGACTCACATGTTCGTTGGAGCTTCCGCTACCCATCGGTCGGAAGAAGTAGGTAGAAACATGAAGTAGGAAGGCGTTGGAAATAGATTGGATATCCGCCCTCCTCCTGAAGAGGAGGGAAGAGGGAAAACCACTCGACGCTTGAAGTAGGAAGGCGCTGAAAGTAGATTGGAATCTGGGAATCCAAAAATACCTACTCTCAACGACCGATGGGTAAGCCTGGGGGGCCAGTGGGGCCCCGACTGACTGTCCGACTGACAGAGGCCCCCCACGGTGAAGCCGCGCTCTCCTGGGCAACGAGGGGCATGCACGGGCCTCGCTCGGCGAGGGACGGGCGAGCTGGGGCCGGCACTGCCCCCCCGAACAACTCCTCCTCCTCCTCCTCCTCCTCCTCCTCCTCCTCCTCCTCCTCCTCCTCCTCCTCCTCCTCGTCCCCTCCTCCTCCTCCTCCTCCTCCTCTTCCTCCTCCTCCTCCTCCTCCTGCTCCTCCTTCTCCTCCTCCTCCTCCTCCTCCACCCAGGAAAGGGAGACCTCCTCCTCCTCCTCCTCCTCCTTCTCCTCCTCCTCATCCTTCTCCTCCGCCTCCTCCTCCTCCTCCTCCTCCTCCTCCTCCTCCTCCTCCTCGTCCCTGGTACCCCCTCGATGGTGGGATTTTCGACCCTGGGATCCTCGACCCCGCCCTCCCCCGCGGCACCCCTGCCCCGCAGTGCCCCCGTGGCACGCATCTCCTCCGGCGACGTCCCTGGCTGCCGCCCATCCATTGGGGGCGGCCCGGCGCGCGCCAGCGTGTAGAACGCCGGCCCCGCTTGCGCGAGGCCCCGCTGAGCGGAAAAGGAGGGGAGGGAAAACGGAGGGAAAGGGGGAGGGAGGGAGACGGGAAGGAGGTGAGGGAACAGGAGCGAGGAGGAAAACGGAGGAAGGCGGGTGGGGATCTCCCACGGGATAGCTCCGATCCGCCATGCCGAGCAGGGGGGGACGAAAGGACTTTTCATGATTTTCCGGACCGACGATGTCTGGCAAGGGGGGAGGAGCGAGGGGAAGGAGAGGGATGGGGATGCAGGCGCGGGTGCAAACAGCCGCCCCGTGGGAGGGGAGCTATGGGAGGGGCCACGTGGCTCAACGCGGGCGACTCAACGCGGTGGCTCACGCGGGCCGCTCGCGCGGCACACCGTGGACAGGGGGGCACCGTACGAGCGGCCTTGCGCGGGCAGCTTGCCAGCGAACGTCCGCGGCGCCGGAGGCGCCCTGGGGCTGGAGCCGCAGCGCCTGGAGTGGCCGTCGGCGACAGCCGCGCCGTGGGCCAGCCAGCGGGGAGCGCGGCAGCCGCGGGCACAGAAAGCGCGCGGCGTCACGTCGTCGTCGTCGTCGTTCTCGTCGTTCTCGTCGTCGTCGTCGTGGTGGTGGTGGTGGTGGTGGTGGTGGTCGTCGTTGCCTGTACGTGCCGATCTCTGCGAGAGCGTGATCCACCGCCGCTTTACTGTGGAAAATTCCCCCCCTTCCTCCGGAACCTGGGGGTCACCCTCCATTAGAAAATCCCCCCCTCCCCGCTGGACCCCCCCCCCTCTCCCCCTCCCCCTTCCCCTGGCCCCCCCCCTAACCCCTCCCCCCCCCCTCCGGAAAACCGAGGGAGGGTCACTACCGGTTCGACCCCCATCCCCCTCACCGCACCGCCCCACCAGCAAACGGCTCCGAGGTCCCCACCACCGTCCGCACCACATCCCCCTCCGCCGCTGTCCCCAGCACCACCGTCCCCACCACCACTGTCCCCACTTTCCCCACCACCGTTCCCACCATCCCCACCAGTGCCCCCACTATTGTCGCACTGTCCCCACCGTCCCCACCACTGTTCCCACCACGGTCCCATTTTCCCCGCTTTCTCTACGGTCCCCACCATTGTCCCACTGTCCCCACTGTCCACTGTCACACTGTCCCCGCCGCTGTCCCACTGAGTTGTCCCACTATTTCCGCCACTGTCCCGACTGTCCCCGCCACTGTCCCAACTGTACCCCTGTCCTATTGTCCCACCACCGACTTCACCACCGCCCGCACCACTGTGCCCACCACCACCGTCCCCACCACTGTCCCACTGCCCCCACTGTCCCCACCACTGTCCCACTGTCCCCACACCACTGTCCCCACCTTGTCCCCGCTGTCCCCACCAGTGCCCCCACCAGTGTCCCACTGTCCCCACTGTCCCCGCCTTTGTCCCACCACGGTCCCATTCTCCCCATTGTCCCCACTGTCCCCATCACTGTCCCACTGCCCCCACTGTCCCCGCCACTGTCAGACTGTCCCCACTGTCCGCGCCGCTGTCCCACTGTGCTGCCCCACTGTCCCCACTGTCCCCACCACTGTCCCACTGTACCACCACCCCCCTGGGGCCTTACGCGGAGCTCCTTGTGTGGCCACGAAACGCCGTACTGGGTGTGGCGGGCGCATGTGGTACCCCCCCCTGGGGCCTGAGGTGGAGCTCCCTTTGGGGCCACGAAGCGCCGTACTGGGTGTGGCGGACGCCTGTGGTACCCCCCGCCCTGGCCTTAGGTGGAGTTCCCTATGGGGCCACGAGACGCCGTACTGGGTGTGGCGACCGCATGTGGTCCCCCCCCCCCTCTGGGGCCTTAGGTGGAGCTCCCCATGGGGTCACGAGGCGCTGCGCTGGGCGGGTGAAACGCATGGAGGAGGGAGGAGGGGGAGGGGGGGAGGGAGGAGGGGGAGAAGGAGGAGGAATTTCAAACACGCATGTTCAGGCATGCCGGTGGGTGCCACCGGTCTCGGCACCCTGGCCGAGCGCGCTAACAGCACGCTCGCGGCAGGGTGGGCCAGCGGCCTCAGCGCGCATCCTCTCTGGCGGCACTCGGAGCTCAAGGAGCAGCCTGATGGGCGGCCGTTGCCGCTCCTCCGCTCGTCGCTCCTCCTCCTCCTACAGGGACCGCTCGTGCTGCGGCACCCCCGCATGGCGGTTGGCTGCCATGGGCTCTGGGCCCCCGCTCGGCTTCCAGGCTGACGCCCTGCGCGCTGGCGTTCTGCTCGCCTGCCTCTGGAGTGCGCCGCGGTGGCCTAACCCCTCGCCGCGCTGGGGGCTGTCGCGGCCTAGCCCCTCGCCGCGCTGGGGCCTGCTGCGGTCCAACCCCTCGCCGCGCTGGGGTACTCCGTGGCCTAACCCCTCGCCGCGCAGGGGGCCGCTGCGGTCTGACCCCATCACTGCGCTGGGGCCCGCGGTGGCCTAACCCCTCGCCACGCCGGGGTGCGGCGCGGCCTAACCCCATCGCCACCTCGCCGCGCCGGGGTTCGCGGTGGCCTAACCCCTCGCCGCGCTGGGGACTTGCTGCGGCCTAGCCCCTCGCCGCGCTGGGGGCCGCCCTCCTGCTCGTTCTGGTGGTGCCCGATGCTGTGCTCCTCATCTTCGAACTGCTGGTGGTGCTCGATGCAGTCCGCCTCATCTTCGAAGGGGTCGTGATCTTCGATGTCCATGGTGCTACATCCTGCTGTCGAGGGAAGGGCACCCCTCTGTACGCGTTTTACAAACACACTTTTACAGTAGCATCGTCAATGTATCTAGCCGCCTTCATTGCATCCATTTGTTGCATGTCATTACTATTGTTTGGCTGCAGTTTCGGCTCGAGAGGTTTGAGAGGCGGGCAGGCCCGCCTTTTCTCGAGCCTTCGAGCACACCAGCCTTCAGGTGTTCGAGGCGCCCGCGCGCTCGCGGGCGATCGGGGCCCCGCGGGGGCCTGCAGCGCGGCCGCTGGCCCGTGCCCGCCGCAGCCCGCGGCGACACGGGCGTGGGCCACCCTGGGCGGCGGGCGCCGCCTCTGCCACGGGCGCGCCGCGCCACGTGGCCTCGCGTCGCCACGGCGCGTGCGGGGCCTGTCGGGTGGGCCCTGGCGCTGGCGATCGTGGCCAGCGAGTGGGAGGCGCTGCTGCCGGGCCTGTGGGAGGCCAGCGCGGAGGAGGGTGAGAGCGACAGCGAGCCGCTCTTCTCGGCGCCCGCGGGGCAGGACGGCGTGGAGGATCTGTTCAGGGGGAGTCGGCCCAGCTACATGGCGCCGTGGGCGCGCTGGAACCGTCTGTACCTGCTGTCGCAGTCGAAGCCGACGGGGGTGGTGCTCCTCCTGATCACCAAGGTCGGAGGGGCCAAGTCCACCTTGTGGACGGCGGTGGACCCGACGCAGCGGGTGGTGCTGGTGAATGTACGGGACAAGAAGTTCGCTCTCAGCAAGCCCAAGCAGGGGATCGTGTGGACGGAGCACCCTGGCCTCACCGAGAAGCAGCGGGATGCCGCGCTGATCGCCTCCGAGCGCCTCATAGCTCGCTCGGAGTTGAAGGAGGCCGAGTCGCGCACGGAGAAGGTGAAGCAGGCCCAGAAGAAGAAGAAGTCGAGCTCCAAGACGGCGATGGCTAGCTGGATGTTCAAGGGGGTGAGCACGGCTGCTGTGGCCGGCTGGAGCTACCGCACCGCCGGTGCGTGGGGCTCGGCGGCTTTTCTTGGGTGGCGCGTGTGGCGCTACCTGGAGCTGGGGTCGTGGCTGAGCGGCGGCTACCACACCGTGAAGGCGGGCTTCCAGGCGTTCGAGGACCTGCAGTCCGTGATGGAGCTGGTCAACGACATGTACGAGAACGGGGACCTGGAGAAGATCGCCTGCACGGTCGGTGGGGTCGCGGTGGCAGGGTACATGATCTGGATGTACTACGCCTACGGCGGCGAGGGTCGAGGTGACAGCTCGGACAGCGAGAGTGACAGCGACGACGGGACGGCCATCATCGGGGGACGAGATGTGAGCGACAGTGACGAGGAGCCCGATGCGAAGGCCTTGTTCTCGGAGCTGGCGAGGGGTCAAGCGGAGCTGGCCTCAGCGGTGGTCGACCTGAAGGACCGGATGCGCGAGGAGGCCGAGGCAAGGGTGCCCACACTGCACCCTGCTCAGGCGCCCGCACGCCAGGCCACACGCCGAGAGGAGTCCCCAGAGGGGGCTCGGACGCCTGCCGTGTCGGAGCCGAGTGGGGGCGATATCGACGCCTTCATTCGGAAGCTGAACGAGCACGAGGGGGTCGTGGCGAGGGACTCGGCGAAGGCGACGGCGGGCTCGGCGACGCCTGTGAGCAGCAGTGGGAGCAGCGGCTCGTGGGAGAAGATTGGCGCCGAGCTCGACGATCCCATGAAGGACCAGATCGTGCAGCTGAAGTTGGAGTCGACCAACCCGAAGGACAGCCTCCTGACGGTGCTGCAGCAGTACCGGCCCGCGGTGGGTGGTCAGGTCGGCGGGGTCCGGACTCGGGTCGCGCCGACGGTGTTGGCGAAGCTCTACCGTGGAGGGAGGACGGCCCGCGTCGAGACGCAGGAGTGGCTTCGCAGCAAGGAGCTGCAGGGCGCGACGGTGGCGAACGAGGTGAACATGTTGGCCATGGTGCTGGACCGCATGATGACCTCGGGGGAGCACGACGCGCTGATCAATAGCCAGGCGTCCGAGCTGACCTGCTTGCGGCTCTACTCGATCTGGAAGGCCTACGAGCGGGTCCAGTGCAGGGCCGACTGGCAGAGGCCCAAGCAGCAGAACGGGGGCAAGTGGAAGTCCAAGGTCGACTGGAGTTTGGCGGAGGAGTACCTGAGGCTGGACGGAGATCGGGACAGCGAGAACCTGAAGGCCGATGAGGAGGTCCTGGAGAAGTTAAGGCGCCGCGCGACCCTCAACAAGCACCTGAACGCAGGTGGCGGCGGGGCAGGCGGTGCCGACGGCGAATAGGTTGCGGCCGGTGGGATCGTGGTAACCACTGGCCAAGAGCGTGCTACAGGCACCGCACCACGCTGCTTGGGGGGGCCGGCGACCTCTCGCCGCCCGCCTCAGGCCGTCATCCTGATCGGGTTCCTCGGGTGCTCCACTACCGCAGGCAAGTCAACCAGTGCGTCGTGGTGCAGGTCACCAGGTGGGAGCTTTCCCAGGCGTCGTGAATGGATCCTCGAGAGCGCGATCCGCTGAGATCACTCCCCGACCTCCCCTTTCCACTGAGTACGAGGAGATCAAGTGCGGGTTTGAGTTCTGTCAGCCTGCGTGTTACGTGGAGGAGGGTGGGGAGGACGGTTTCGGCGATCAGGAGCATGGCTTCGGGCTGTGCGAGTGGCTGGCTTACCCCATCGCCACTGAAGACGGAGGAGGTGGCGAAGGAGAAGTGGACAGCGAGCAGCCCGCTCCAGAAGAGGATCGTCAGCGACATCTGGGACTGGCACGCCGCGCGGGCGGGCTGGGGCACCATCAGTGACGGCAAGGTGGCTCTTGGCCGCCTCGAGGAGACGACGGGCAGCGGCTACTTCACAACGGTAAGGAAGATGGAGATGGAGAAGAAGAAGGTGACAAGATACAAAAAGGGGGATCTGTGCCCCCTTCGAGCTGGTCAGGTCTCCCTACCCACCCCGGGTACGGCGCCTCTTCGTGTCCAGGACCTCTCGGCTTGTGCAGGCAGCTATATCGACTCGTGCCAGAAGCTGATGATCAAGAGCCCTGGCGAGGTGGACTGGGAGCGATACGAGAAGACGAAGAGCTACTCGGACCCGGCGCTGAGAAGCAGGACCGAGAAGCTGGAGCTCCTGGCGCGCATGTACCAGGCGGGGATGCTCGACTACGTGAAGGAGGTGAGGGAGAAGGTCGGTCTCTTCACAGTGGCCAAGGACGTCGACCCCGACTCAGGGGTAGTGCTCAAGAGCCGCCTTATCTGGGACTGCCGGAAGGTCAACGTTCTTTTTCACGAGCCTCCGTGGGTGCCGCTTGGGAGTCCCGCCGGGCTGGCTTTGCTGGAGTTGGACGAGGTCATCCTACATGGGCGGCGGCTCTTCTCATTCCAGGGCGACGTACCGGATTGGTTCTATCGACTGCACTGGGGCTCGGAACTGGCGGAGTTCTTTGTCGTGGAGGGTGTGTCGCCGCGGGAGCTGTACCAGTACGGACAGGAGAAGGGCTTGAACTTCAGAGTGCCCTTGGATACGGAGATCGGTCTTGGAGCAGCGAGCCTGGTGATGGGCTCGGCCTGGGCGGTCTTCTTGGCACACACCTGCCTGGAAGCGAGCTTCGAGTCACTGCGGGCGCCGAGTATTACCTATGGGAAGCCGACCCCAAGCTTTCGGAGCCCGTCGTCAGCCACTCGCCCTTCGTTGCAGCAGGGGGATCTTCCCCCAAGCGTGACCGAGGCGGTGGAGGACGGGACGGCCGAGGAGGTGGCGGTGAAGCTCATCCTGATGCTGTATATCGACGATTACATTGGTTTTACTCTGAAGGGCCCAGGCGAGGAGGAGGACATCGTGAAGGACAAGGAGGAGGTGAAGGAGCTCCTGAACCGCAAGGGCCTCGCGATCCAAAAGGAGGACTGGGGAGAGGGGCTCAGCGCGGGGCTTGGACTCACGATACCTACGGCCAGGCCCTACGTCCTGAGGGTCCAGACGAAGAAGTTGGCGGAGCTGGTCTTGGCGACGGAGGCCCTGCTGACGGAGGACGCTGCTCAGCCAGCAGTCTTGTCGAGTCTGGTGGGCCACTGGACGTGGACCATGATGGTGTTCAGGCCCGCGTTCGCCATCCTGGACGAGACCTACAGATGGGTTCGGAGCTGGGAGCTGGAGGAGGCGGTCGTGCCCAGGAGGCTGCCCGAGATCGTCAAGAGCGAGCTAGCGGCCCTGGTCAGCCTCTCGATCTACATGGAGGCGGACCTGGAGGCCCCCTGGTGGCCACGTGCGTACATGACGGACGCCTCGGAGAGCGGATACGGAGCCCTGGCCTGCGACTGCGATCCCGAGGAGGCGAGAGCGGAAGCGGCACGGGGGACGGAAGGTCTCTGGGGCCCCCTGGTGGAGGATTTGTACACCGAGGTGGAGAGGACGGTGGAGGCCGAGGGCGACGAGGAGGATCTGCCGGCCCGACCCCAGGCTGGCCGCCCGGGGGTGCTAGAGTTGTTCTCGGGGTCGTCGAGGTTGCTGGATGCCGTCAAGGACCTCACGAACTCCTGGGGGGAGGCGTGGGACATCTCGGAGGGGGCCGAGTACGACGTGCTGGTGTGCGAGAACCTGGAGCTGCTGCTGAGGAGGCTGCGGCAGGGGTGGTACTGGTGGGTTCACCTAGCGCCGCCTTGTGCCACCTTCTCGAAAGCTCGGGTGCCGCCTCTGAGGTCAACCGAGTGCATCTGGGGACTGCCTACTTTGGAGGGACCAAGTCAGACCAAGCTCGAGGAGGGCAACCTGCTGTGCCTGGTGGCGGTGGAAGTGTTGAAGGTCTGCGTGACGCTGGCGATCCCCTTCACCTTGGAGAATCCTGCTGGGAGCTACATTTGGGCTTTCCCACCGCTGGTGGAGGTGCTTGTGAAGGCAGACGTCTGGAGGGTGGAGCTGGACTACTGCATGTTTGGCGAGGTCTGGAAGAAGCCCACCGCGTTTGTCACGAGCGTGAGGGAGATGACGAAGCTGGCGAGGAAGTGTACAGGTACCTTTCGCTGCTGCAGCCGCACG